ACTGATGAATATGAACAGTGAACACTTCTTCAAGAAATTTTAGATGAGGTTGGTTGAATTGATAGTGAAGATGGTAGTTGAAAGTATCATGGATCAAACATTATTGGGTTTCATCACCCTCTTTTGTCCAGATCTTCACCTTTCTGTTCATCTGTCTCAGGGCTGAAAACCAAAATAAGAACTTGAAAAAAAAAAGAAAAAGAAGAAGAAGAAGAAGAAGAAGTCAAAACGACGTTGTTTTGGCGAGAGGAGCAAGGAGGGCTGCAGAAAATGGCGGCAGATGATCCAGACTCGTCAATTGTAGGGGTAGGGTGAATGAAGAGAGATGATCAGTTGTGAAAATAGGTGGGAAGGTGCATAAAATGGCGAGGATGGGAAGGAATCGGAAAATAAATGTTCAAGTGTTATGACAAGTTGTAAATGATTATATCTTTTTTGAATTAAATCATTTAAAATATTTTTTTCTTTAAAAACTAAATTGACAAAATGTCTTGCAATTTATGGGGTAAATATTTTTTTTAATCACAAAAGTATTATCGCGATAATTTATATAATTTTTTTTTGTTCGGTTGGGTTGTGCTATATAATCACACTTTATCTTTTTATTTTTTTGGGTCATATAATCTCTCTACTTTTTTGTTCATATTTTCGTAAAAAGTTCAAAAGTGCACTTATTTCATTTCAAACAAATGCATTTTCATTTTTTACTAATTAAAGTAAAAAAATATTTTTTTATTTTACTTAATTATTTTTTTATTTATGTGCTTTAAGAGCATCTACAGCAACCTCGCTATAGGATACGTTTTGGAGATTTCAAGTCTTATATTCTACTCCATCAACCTCGCTCAACCATCGTGGAATTGATTTTGTGCTATAGTAACTCGTCACAAGAAACGAGCTACAGTGCACTAGAGCTACATATTTTAATAATGGGGGGTTTGATGATAGCCCCCTCACTATCTAATTTGTCTTTCAAAAGGACAAGAATTATATAAGTACTTTCAAAACTCCTTAATATTTTAAAACTTGTTTCTTTTCCTATATTACCCTCATATCTATCAGCTCTCCTATTAAGCCATCTTCACTGTGTATTTTAGAGTAAAATCTTACTCTGTATGAAAGTAAAATTTTACTCTGAATAAAAGTAAAATGTTACACTCTGAAACTAAAAATAAAATTTTACTCTGAAAAACTAGTAAAATGTTAAACTCTACACAAAAGTAAAATTTTACTCTGTATAAAAGTAAAATATTACTCTGAAAAACGAGCAAACTGTGTGACTCTGAAGCTAAAAGTAAAATTTTACTCTGTATAAAAGTAAAATTTTACTCTGAAAAACTAGTAAAATGTTAGACTTTACACAAAAGTAAAATTTTAAAATTTTACTCTGTATAAAAATAAAATTTTACTCTGAAAAACGAGTAAACTGTGAGATTCTGAAGCTAAAAGTAAAATGTTACTCTGCACAAAAGTAAAAAAGCGAAGGCAGTGTTTGTGGCGGCTGAAGTGTTTGGCAATGACCACGTCTTGACAGTAAAATTTTATTGTCATTCTAACACCAGAGTAAAATTTTACTCTAATTCTCTCAAACAAAAAACAGAGCAATAGAACAAGAGTAAAATTTTACTCTCATTATCTGAAACAAAAAACAGAGTAAAATTTTACTCTGGTTCTGTCAAATGAAATTAGATAAAAAACAACAAAAATAAATCAAAAAAAAAAACAAAAAAAACAAACAAACAAACAAAAAAAAACAAATTAATCAACAAATCAACATATCTAATTGAGAAGAAAAACTTCTAAAACTCGATCAACAATCACAAATCTCAATGAAAAGAGTACATGTTTCAACAACACTCATACACACAAATATATATATATATATATACATACATATATTCAAAACTCAAATCTGTGTTTAAAAAAATATGTATAACCAAACAACTCCACCAAACATGCCTCAATTTAGAGACAATCTGTTTCTCCTCGTAGACGATCTCCTTCGATTTCGGCATCGGAGGACAATTTTCCGGCCCGTAGTTGATTTCGTTCCCGATGTTCTTGATGAGTTCATCGTAGAGATCAGTTTCAGCATTATTGATCGCCGGAGTTTCGCCTGATAACTGACCGGACTTGGCTAGGAGAGTGATGACGATGACGTTGCTATCATCGCCGAAGAAGAAGAAGTTACCAAAATTATCGAGAAACAGAGCTTCAGATCTGGAAGGAGGAGCACGTCGGCGGAGAACAAAGTCAGAAGGAAAAGAGGGAGAAGAGAGAGTGGGTGGAAAAGGTGGGAAGATTTAGTTGAGGGTATAATAGTCTAATAAAATATTTAAATAATAAATTTTGTCCTTTATGCAAGACTTTATAATTATAAGGGGGTTTAGAAAGTATAATTTTTTCTTAGTCCTTTTAACAATGAAAGGAAGGTAAAGGGAGTTTATCGCCAAATTTCCCTAATAATTCTCCTCTATTTTGTATAGTTTATTAATTTGCACTAAAAGTTTTTATTTTAAAACATTTATTGTTAAAACACTAATGATATATAAATAAATCTATTATCAATATAGTATTAACATATGAGATTACAAATAAAAAATAATAATAAATAATATTTAATGAAATAAAATACATTATTAATACATAAAATTATAAATAAAATATAATAAAAAACTAAAAAAGAATATTTTAATGACATAGGATTGTATAATAGAGAGTTTGAGTGTATACATAAATATGAGATTGATGCGGATGTTGTAATACAATAGTAAATTTTGGGTTATAATTTGATTCAATTTCTATTGAGATTGATGCGGATGTTGTAATACTACTTTTTATTTTACCTATTTATCCATACAAAGTGGTTAAAGAACCTCTCCAAATGTAGCTAGTTCATTGGAAAAGGTAAAATAGGAGAGACTAATTATAATAGCCAACATGCCTCTTTAAAAAAAACCTCATTGGAGATGCTATAAGAATTGAAAATGGTACTTTTTTGAATTGATTATTTTAATTTTTTATAAAAAAAATGTACAAAAAAATAAAAAAATAATATACCAATTTATAATGATTTTTTGACTTTTAAATTGTGAAAAAAAGGAAGAAGTCATATTTTGAGGGTGAAAGTATAATTTACCATATTCAAAAAAGGTATAATTTATCAAACCTAAGAAAAAAAGAAAAAAAAAAAAAAATTGTACCCACATCCCTAGCATGTATGCTCTGTGCTCATATATTCAGACATTGGTTTGACTTTGAACCAGTAATGTTATAGATAGAATGGGAGGGGAAATTATTCAATAATTACGTGTTCATACTCCTAATCAATTATTATTTAATATATTTCTTTATATTCTTCAATCACTCAACATAATATTCTACATATTCATCGTATCCATCAATCACAATACTATAGAGTATTACGTGTCTATACACTTAGGTCATGTTTAATTCACAAAATTAATAGTGAAGTATTAATAATCTTATTAAATTAGTGTGGTATTCACTATCCAATTGGATTGATATCAATTGGATTAATAATCTCACCCCTATCCCATTACTAATAATCCTACAAATTTGTTGGATTAATTATCCATTGAATTAATAATCCTAAACCAAAATGTTAAAACAAATATAGAATAATTAGGTCTACGGATTAATAATTCCAATCCCATACTCCAATCCACCCAATCAAATATGACCTTAAATTACTGAATAATTGCCCGAATGAGTGAAATGTCAAGAATTGGAGGGGATAGTATAGTGGTTACTCCTTAGTTATAATTTAATTTTATTAATAAATTATCATCCTACAATTTTGGGGAATAAAAAAAGAAAACAAAAAAACACAGAATTCCAACAGTTAAATGCAAGAGTCTTTGCGGATGGGGATGGGCAAAACGATACCAGTGGGAATTCTCAGTCGCTCAGCTAAAACTCCGCTGCTTGAGACAACAACAACCGTAGCAGCAGCAGAGAGCTGACCTGAATGCAGAAAGAATTTGATCTATATACAAACCTCCAAGCTTCTTAAACCCTGTGCCTTCTTTCCCTTGTCTTTTTCTTTATATCTTTTTTTTTTCTTCTTCTTTTTTAATCACCTATATTACATGTAACTATCAATCTTTTTCGTCTTTCTTCCTTGATTTCTCTCAATTTGCAATCTGGTCCACCATCAGCACCACCACAACCACAACCATGGATGATTTGGGTATTTGTGTTTATTGTAGTGTGTGCATTTTTTCCCGATGATTGGGGGGCTGTTTTCTCTTGGATTCTCTCTCCCCAAACAGTAACCGTATACAGCTCCATACCTCGAGAATTCCCATTTCAGAACCAAGAAAAAAAAAAAGGAAAAAGAAAACCCATTATGGATTTCCATTTTCTTTCACTTTTTTCTTTCACTTTTTTCTTTCCTCCACAGCACCCCTGACCACCTCTGTTTCTTTGCTTTCACACACACGCAAGAAGATTTAGGAGAGAGAGAGAGAGAGAGAGAGGCTAGAGAAACCTCCACGTGTGAAAGAGAAAAAGAAGGCTCAAGGCAATGGTGACAGCTGAGAGAGGATTGCATGTAAAGGCCAAGACAAGTGTCTTTCTTAGAGACCTTAGGGTTAGGTATGTGTTGCCCCTTCAACCCCAAAACCCCTACTTATTATGGTTTAACAACAAGCCTCTCTCTCTCTCTCTCTCTCTCTCTCTCTCTCTCTCATGTATTTGTTTTTGATGCACCCAGTGACTGTCCCACATCTTCTTCTCCTCCACGTGGGATTGCATTTTGTAACGCTCATATAGCCTCATTCTTTACTATATATGACACCATTTTATTATCTCTATCAAGTCTCCTCCATCTCTCAATTGTCCATTAATGGGTTACTCTTTTTATCGCGCATTTTGCTGAATTCACTACCTCCATGCCTCAATCACCTATTTCCCATTAAAGGGTAGTTCTTGGTGTTTCCAATTTTTGCTAAAATCCTCAGCTAATTCTCTCTGCAATGGCTTCGATCCTTCGGTTTCGAAAGCTATGCTATGTAGAGCCAGTGAAGTGTTCTTCATTGGGTTTTGAATCATTTGATAACCCCAAAATTGACAAGAAAGAATCATTGGAGACACCAAAAGTTGAGAAGAAAAAAGATGAAGCTCTTGTTTCCACTGCTGAGAATGTGCAGAAGAAGAAGAAGCCCAAGAGGCAACACAAGGATTGGAGGTGTGTTGATTACTGTTGTTGGGCAATTGGATACATGTGCATTACTTGGTGGCTTCTCTTGTTTCTCTGCCACTGTTTGCCTGGTCTCAGAGTCCCTGAACTGCCCGGGGCACGGCTAAAGCGCGAAGGCGTAATGTTATAGATAGAATGGTTGTTCTCGTGCCTGGCATTGTCACGGGTGGCCTAGAGCTCTGGGAAGGCAAGCCTTGCTCTGAAGGCCTGTTCCGAAAACGGCTTTGGGCCGGTAGCTTTAGTGAAATCTTCAAGAGGTTTGATTCAAATTTGCATAATTGAATTCAATTGGATTTGATTTTGAAAGTTTGATTTTGGATTGTACTTATGAACCCATTAGAGAATTATGTTGGAATTTCATTGTTGGACTTGAATTCAATTGGTTTTGATTTCGAAAGTTTAGTTTTGGATTGAACTTATGAACCTGTTTGAGAATTATGCTGGAATTTTAGGCCTTTGTGTTGGTTGGAGCACCTTTCATTGGACAATGTGACCGGACTCGATCCCCCGGGCATTCGTGTCCGGCCAGTGCCGGGACTAGTTGCTGCTGACTATTTCGCTCCTGGATATTTTGTTTGGGCTGTTCTGATCGAGAACTTGGCGAAAATTGGCTATGAGGGGAAGAATATGCACATGGCTGCTTATGATTGGAGACTTTCTTTTCAGAATACAGAGGTATAATGGATCTTCCTCTGCTTTTCTTATTATAATTTTGGCAATTGTGGGATTTTACCAACACAAGTTCACAACATTCATTTTCTTTTGTGTCTAAGATCAGTTGTTTGCAGTTGAATTGATATGCTCTTTTATGGTTTTTAATTTCTTGCTTTGTGTATATCTTTATGTAACCTCTGATTTCTTGGTAATTACTGCAATATTCTCTGTTTCTAGCCATAACATGTTCAGCAAAATTGATGTATGTTTGGCATTTTACATAACATATCATTTCTATACTCTTGTATTTTTTTTGAGAATTTGTTTGGTTAGTCCGGTTTACGCCTACTGATAGAGAAATACGTAATCATATTGACTAGTCTACATTGTCTAGTCTAAAAAATAGGAACAAAGTGACCATGTGCTCTATAGACCAGACCTGTTAGATAATTTTTCCTTTGTGTTATGCTGCACTCGTTCGTGTGCTGTTCTTAGAGCAAGTGGGTAATGACTATAAGGTCCAAAAGGAAGGTGTTCTGTTTTTAAATGCTGAGGAAAACAAGATAGAGCCATTTCATTTTGTGTGATACACTCCCATAATTTTCATTTTTTTTCCTGTGTGCTCGCGTTTACTTCATTGTGGAGTCAATTTTCTTTAAATTTGTAAACCATTAGCTATAAATTGAACAGCTACAATTAAATATAAGTGACTCTAATCTATTTCTAATTGAAATCAAGCAGATCAGGGACCAAGCTCTTAGTAGATTGAAGAGCAAAATTGAGGTTATGTATGTAACCAACGGCCATAAGAAAGTGGTGGTGGTGCCTCATTCCATGGGGGTTATTTATTTCCTCCATTTCCTTAAATGGGTTGAATCACCTCCTCCTATGGGTGGCGGCGGGGGTCCTGGTTGGTGCAACAAGCATATCAAAGCAATCATGAATATAGGTCCCGCATTTCTTGGTGTTCCGAAGACCGTAGGTAATATATTGTCTGCCGAGGGTAAAGAAATTGCTTTTATCAGGTTAGTCTTTTGCAACCTCTCCGTTATTGTGCTTGCTTTCTGTTAGAAAAGTTCATTCCGCTCAACAAGCTGACCCAGCCTGAAGGACTTTCATAAATCATTTAACCGGTCCTTGAAGCATTCTCACACTGCATGAAACGATTACATTTTTTTATTTTCCTATCATTTCAACGAACTGCCTCAATCAGGTTGTGTCATTTCGAGCGACATATCAACCTTTTAAAACGGAAACGATCTAAAAGAAACGAGTCATCATAGAAAATTATTTCAGAAGAGTTAAAAATACCATGGTTATCAGAATCCCAATCCGGATCGTAGATCTTACGATCCTACGATTTTAATTGGGTCAAACGATCCGGATCACACTAGGATTTTAAATTTAGTAAAATCTTAAAGTGATTACGATCATATTCATAAAATCATGTAGAATCGCATACGATCCCCATTCTATTACAATTCCGATGCTACAATTTTTCTGTTATTATTTATTTCTTATATATATATATATATATGTATATATGTATATCTATATAAAAAATTTGACTACAAACTTCTTTTTCAATCGTCTCCTCCAATTTATATTAACATAGAAAATGCATTATATCAAATTTATCATTTTTCTTAGTCTTTTTAAATTGTGTAACATACATTATCATTATCCATAATTTTTTATTTTATTTTGCATTGAAAATAGAATCTTACGATTCTCTATCAGATTCTACGATCTGATTTACGAGTCCCTCCCAACCATCCCACTCAGGATCCCGATTTTAACAATCTTGAAAAATACACAATAATCTGAAATTGTAAAGAATGATCATGTTCATAATAATGCATTTGGTTAACATCAGATACTACGAAAATAAAATAGGGAGCCAGTGTATCATAGAAAAATTGTTTCAGAATAATCAAAATAATATCCTGAAATTGCATAGAATGATCATGTACATGAGAAACTTGGCTAACTTTAAATGCTATAAAACAAGGTACTCATTTGTGTTGCTGCATAAGAGAGATTGGAAGGATTTCATTTCCATATGATATCAAAATACGCTGATAGTGATATAATAATTTCCTACATTTGGGACTCAAACCTTTAATTCGTCTTGTAGGGCTATGGCTCCTGGTCTTTTAGATTCCGAGCTTCTTGGGTTTCAAACTCTAGAACATGTCATGCGGGTATCTCGAACATGGGACTCCATCATTTCCTTGATGCCAAAAGGAGGAGAGACAATTTGGGGTAACTTCGATTGGTCTCCAGAGGAGGGGTTTGATTGTGATTTGGCAAAGAAAAGATATATGCAACCCTATAGAGAAATTAATAACAACAATACTGATGGAAAGAGAGGACTCAAAGTTAAAGAGTCCGTGAAGTATGGAAGGATGGTCTCTTTTGGCAAGGAAGAATCACAGTTACCTTCTTCACAGCTCCCCAATCTTGGTTCAAAGGTATAGTTTTTCCTAAATTTTGTTCAACTGAACTGAATTTAATTTTTGTTCTATTCAATTAACTTGCAAACAAAAATTGCAAAGGTACGTTTGAACTACGTCAAGTCTAAACATTAGTGTGCCGTAACTTAGTACACTGTCTACATATATGGAAAAACAAATTTGGGTGGCTAAATCTCCTTGGACGGCCAAAAGAGCCCTATAGTTACTTTCTAAATGACCACTCTTGTGCTTATTCTTTCATGTAGGTTGTATATTTTTCGTTTAGCTTGAAATTATCATGTTACATTTAGAATAAAGTAGTTTACAATACACAAATGTAGCTGCAAATGTTAACATGAAGTGATTCTGTCAAATTTTCTTCTAACTACATTGAGCACCTTTGTCAATTTGCATGCCGAGGCAGCCTGATAGAAAATAACTTATCCTGCATTTCAATTGAGGAAGAACCATTTTCTCCCTTTATTCAGGCTAAAGCCATGATCTATGCAATTGAATGCCAACCTTAGATATTACTTTATATGCCTATGTGGAATTTTCTTTCATTTGTATCAAATTGTTATCAGATGTTGGTTATAGTTCTTTATACATGGATAGACGGCTAACCCTTCATCAACAGGAATTTCTGCGCATGAGTACCTCTACTATTTCCGACACATCATGTAAAGAGGTGATGACAGAATATGATGAGATGAGCCGTGAAAGCATTCGTAAAGTCGCCGAAAAAAAAGTTTACACTGCAAATAGTCTCATTGATCTTTTTCGCTTTGTAGCTCCCAAAATGATGGAACGGGCTGAGGCTCACTTCTCTCATGGGATAGCTGAGAATCTAGATGATCCCAAATACTCCCATTACAAGTATTGGTCAAATCCACTTGAGACCAAGTAAGTATAGTTATCCTCTAATTTCACTGCTGTAAACTTCAGTTGACTTCCAAGAAAGTTTTCAAAGCATACCTAAACCAATTTTAGCCTTTACCTATCAGTGCTCATAATTTGTTCATGAAGTAATGAGAACCTCTCGTATTGCCCATAAAGAAATATTAGTTCTACAAATACAATTTTCGTTGTGCCAGCATTTCCTTTTCCCATTTTCTTTTCATCTTATTTACTGCTGCTGCTGCAAACGCATTATAAAATTTCTGTTTTTTCCAGCTATTATCTTCTGTTTTTGGATGATTTTGTAATAACATGTGGCTTCTTATTAATTTACGCGTGATTCAAATAGAGCTGTAAATGAGTCTAGTAGTAACTTGTTCAAGCTTGGCTTGCAAACTTAACGAGCTTCAAAATGTGTTCAAAGTTTGACTGGTTTAGCTTTTGAGTCGATCTCAAACATGTTTTAATCGAGCCAATCATGTGCTTAGCTCAAGCAGCTTGGTTTGTTATAGTGCACATAACCGAGTTGATCTGTGAAAAATCTAGAAATCCCCTAGATGTTGATTTGTGATTACTCAAAGGAGTTTTGTCAAACGGGTTTGCCAAGAAATAAAACCTAACAATCTGAATAGTAGGTTATTCAAGTTTGGTTTGAAAACTTAACTAGCTTTAAAATATGCTCAAACTTGGCTTGTGTACGTAAGAGTCAATTTCAACGAACTTTTAACGAGCCGAACACAATCGAGCCTAAGTGGCTTGGTATGTTTTACAGTCCTAGACTCCAAAAAACAAACAAATCCAAAATTTGTTGGTATGTTTCTGCCAATTTAATCCCAAGCTCAATGCAATTACTTTTCTCTATCTGATGTTCCCTAGAGTTTGTCACAGTACAGTACCAATCATATATTTGTTTGCAGGTTACCAGATGCTCCGGATATGGAAATTTACTGTTTATATGGTGTTGGAATTCCCACTGAAAGATCATATGTATACAAGCTGTCACTGTCTAATAGGTGCAAGAGTATTCCTTTCCAAATCGACAGCTTGGCAGATGAAAGCGGTGATAGCTGCTTGAAACGAGGGGTGTACTTTGTCGATGGTGACGAAAGTGTTCCTGTTTTGAGTGCTGGATTCATGTGCGCAAAAGGGTGGAGAGGAAGAACACTGTTCAACCCATCTGGGATCGCTACATACATAAGAGAGTATAGGCACAAGCCACCGGCAAGTTTTCTTGAGGGGAGGGGTCTAGAGAGCGGTGCACATGTCGACATTATGGGAAATGTTGCTTTGATTGAGGATGTTTTGCGAGTTGCTGCGGGGGCCACTGGTGCTGAGCTGGGAGGTGATAAGATTTATTCAGATATTGTAAGAATGTCGGAGAGAATAAATATTCGGCTGTGATTGCCATGTTCAGTGGTTATCAAAATGAGCGGTGCACAACTCAGAGAGAGAGAGGACTAACAACAGTGAAATTGCAGTGTCGAGATGCTGCAAATGATTACAACAACAGTCATAGCATCCTTCAAAGAGAAGGATCGGCTTCAAGGATGAGCAGATGGGGGGAGTGTTGAGCTGTACTAACCGCCCTAAGTTTCTTGTTGACAAAATCGATTTCTCACTTTCTGTAATCAAATGAATAGAGCTTTTCCTTGCAAAGTTATTATATGCTAATTTAGCTGTCAAGTTTCTTGTTTGATTAGTTTTAACCCTTGCAGTTTGATAATGCATTCAATCTAACCATGGTCCTTAAGATGATTGTGAATAAGGAGGTTTGGTGCTCTCTGTAGAATTAGAATACTAGGCTCAATTTCCATTTTAATTCAATCCAAAAAACCATTTGACTGTATAGCAGCTGGTAAAGATCAATCCAAAAACTAGGTAAAATTAACTTATATAAATCAATTAGAATCAATTGGTTATGACATTTTTTTTTTCTTTCTTGTTTTCATATTAAAAGGCTAAAAGAGTTCCCACCATCTATTTCTTTTTATTCAACTCTGTTGGGGGGTTTGTTTAGATTAAGGTTTTGAGAATAGATTTATAGAGAAAAAGAGAATAAAATTTTGTTACTTATATTTTTTAAAAAAGGCCTAATTAGGGTAACTTTTGGGGTTAGACCTTAAGGAATTGAGACACAATAGGTCATCTTTAGATGGTGTTATATAATAGGGTCACTTAATCATGTAGTGATAAGTCACAAACAATTCACACCGACGGGGATTCGAACTCATACTCTTTAGAGGCTTAGAAGGTTGTGCCTAGGCCTGGAAGGTTTATCTTACTAACTATATATATATTGTCGTCTGAATGGCTGAATTTGCAGATAGTGGAACCTAAGACCTTCATCTTCTCCTCTTTCTTTTTTTTCTTCACAAATAGTGATTGATTTATTTGTAGATATTTAGCCTAACGCTGGCATTGCTCCAAAAACAACCAATAATTCTGTCATGGTGGGAAGAACCCGCAATTCCACTTATGTTTCAATCAAGCTTGAGAGCCCAGGAAAGATTCTTTGAAGGCCCATTCTAATGATATGTCTTAGGGATATCAATAAAAAGCCAAAAAAAAAAAAAAAATGAAGAAGAAATTTTTATAATTATAATGCTTTTTTATATATTTTTTAACAATTTTACAAATTTTAATACACTTTTGCATATATTTATACACATATCAAGATTAATGACAACCCTTGCATATATTTATACACATATCAAGATTAATGAACCCTTAAGCATAAGCATCTCCAACAATCCTCCCTAGTTTTTCTTCAAATTTTAGTTAAAAAGTGTACTAACTATTTTAGGAAATCACTTTTTCAATTGTCATCTCCAACAATATTCCCTCTTTTTTCCTCTATAGATTTTAAATATTTTTTCTTTTTCTTTTTTCATTAAAAATATTTTTCCAAACTCTCTCCTCTCTTCTCTCTCCTCCACCATTTTAGAAAAAGATGAGGAATAAAAGAAAAAGAAAAATAAATTTTTTTTTTCTAATTGTAGGGAGTAATTAAACCCTTCGTTAATGTAGGGAGCCAAAAAGTTTACTCCCTTAAATAGGGAGTTGAGCATACACGTTGTTGGAGGGAATCATTTTGGTACCATTTGGTAACATTTACGTTTTTAGTTTTTTATTTATATTTACAAAATTTAAAAAAACTCAAATAAAAACTTGTTTGGTAAAATTTTTGATTTATAAATCAGTGGTCTCAGTTTATAAATTTGGCCAAAAAATAAAAACATAAAAAATGTGTTTCCATTTTGAGTTTTCAGTTTTTTTTTTTTTTACCACCCAATAGCCAAAAAGTTTACTCCCTTAAATAGGGAGTTGAGCATACACGTTGTTGGAGGGAATCATTTTGTATTTCATTCCTTAGAGTAGGGAAAAAGTGAGGATAGAGAGACTATTGGGAATGTTCTTAAGATTGTTTGGACATTTTCCTTCTTTCCTAAATAAAAATGTTTTCCAATTTAGACTCTTTGTTTTGACATAAAATATTTTTAAAGAAAAATTCTTGGGAATTGATTTTTATACACACAAAAAAAAAAAATATATATTTTTGTTTTTCAGCGCTTGGTTGACACATTTGAAACAAAAACATTTTATTGTTTAAAAGATAATTTTTAATTCAATAAAGTGTCATTTATGAATTTTTAGTGAACTAAGATACTTATTTGAAAAGGTTAAATGTGTTGAAAAGATAGTAAATGAGAGTCAATTTTGTAAAAATTGATTTACAAAAATTTTAAAGATAATTCATTTTTGAGAAAATAATACAAATATATTTTTCTTGAAAAATATTTTATTTACTTTTTACTCAACCAAATAACAAAAAATAAGTAAAACATACGTCAAAACAGACGGAGTCTTGTTGTGTTTGGTTATGTGTTCCAAACACATTTTCACCCACTCATTTGAGTGTGGTGTTTGTTTTAGGCTTTCAAATTAAAATTTCACACCTACTTTTGAAAACTCCTTTCCAAGCGAGAAAATTTGGCTAACCCGATCGTCCTCTCGGACATCCCCCGATTTCAAATAAATTTGAATCTAATAACTTTTCTAATTTTAAAAACTCAAAACTCCTTTCAAAACTCAATTCAAAACTCTTTTCAAAATTCATAACCAAACAAATTTTCCACACTCAAATCATAATTCTAAAACTTACAAACTCAAAATATAACTCTATTCTCAAATCATATTTAACTCTACCAAATGCTACCTTGATTTTTCCAATTTACTGAGATTTTTTGAAAGTAACATCAAAGACTCGGAAAGGTGGAAATGAAGGTCTTAATGACACTTGTTGGAGCACTGACATTCTTTCTTAGCCCCAAAAAATAAATTTTGAACTACAAAAAAAAAAAAAAATGAATACTTATACGGGTAGGGGTGTAACCCATGTTGGTCGTCGTAGGTTCCTGTCAAAATTCGAGCCTTGAGTGGGCTAAGTCGGTGGGCTTAAGCTTGGGCTCGGGCATGGGCTTGGGTAGGGTTTGAACAATTTTTTAAAATTTTAATTTTTTTTTTTCCAAAATGTTTATTTTTTTTCACCAAAAATAACACTAGGCCTCGAGCGGGTCGAGCTTTAAGTGGGTGTTAAGCAGGCCGATGGGCCAGTCCAAGTCTAGGCCTAGTGTCTCAAGCTGGATTCGGGCTCGGGCCTAATCGGGCCAAGCTCACCCCAGGCCTCGGGCCATTTTTACACTTCTATATACTGGGAGCAAATATTTTTCGCTGTATTACCTTGCTCATCCTCTCCTAGACATGTGGATGTACTATCCTCTCCTCGATTTACACGTGTGTGTGCGACAATACTGCCAAACAGTATTAACAAAATAGCCAAACAGTATTGATGCGTACAGACGGTGGGTTCCCTTCTTTACTCTTCAATTGGGCCACGTAGCAATTTCCGCCGAGCTATCCACAATCCGGTGTGTGGCTGTCCACTCCAAGAGCAGCTTCTACCAACTGGCCTAGCTCCAAGATACCCAACCGGTCATCTTCAGCTAGGGATGGTCACAGGGCGGGTTTGGCATTCCTCGCCCCTACACCCCCGCCCCCGCCGACAAACTCCACCTCGGATCCGCCTACGCCCTCGTCTCACCTCCACTATGGGTGAAATTTTTCTACCCCACCCTCTCTCCCGCGGATACCCGATACTCGCGCATATCCAACCATATTTCAAATAGTCAAAAAAATTAAAACTATTTAAATTTTTAGCACACTAAATAATTTTTTTTATTTTCAAATATATAAACAGTGAAACTTTTAAGATTATTATTTATTTATATTTAAACAAAATTATAGACTTTTAATATTATTTTTTTTATATCTAATTATATTTTTTATATATACATATATTATTTATTTATATATTATTAATTATATTGGGTCGGATTTAGATTGGGAGAAGCGATACCCGCCCCCGTTCTGCCCTCGTTGCGCGTGACCAAAACATAATCTACCCCACCCCACATAAGTGTTGGGGTGAGTAAAATCTGCCTCATTTGGATAGGTATGGACGGCCCCCACAGATCAGATTTAAATGGCCATCCCTATCTTCAGCTTGGTCAAACTAGTTGAACTTGCCCAAGCCAACCTTGCCCGGCCTTGAACCAGGGTCAACTTTATAAAAATTGACTTACGAAAATTTTAAAGGTACGTCATTTTGAGAAAATAATACAAAAAATATTTTATTTACTTTTCGCTCAACCAAAAAACAAAAAATAAGTAAAATATACGTCAAAACGGAGTCTTAATTTTTCCAATTTAATGAAAGATTTTTTGAAAATGAATAACAGCAACAATAATATTTGGGACTCCCAAAATTTGTGACCCCCACAATCCCCAATTAATTTATGACCACTCATTATTTTTTTTTATTATTATTTTTTCTTTCCTCTCTCTCTCACAAAATGTGTGGGAGAGTGGGGGTCTGGGGGTCACTATGACCACTGTAACATCAAAGACTCCGAAGGTGGAAATGAAGGTCTTTTCCACGAAGACCATCGCTTTCTTAATAATGACACTTGTTGGAGAACCAACGTTCTTTCTCAGCCCCCAAAAAAGTCTTGAACCACCAAAGAAAAATGAATATGGTAATTAATTTATTCGCATTAAAAATCATTCATCTCATGCTTATTCATGTTAAATGATGCAATCCAGTTTTTTGACTAGTCATTAAGGCAACCTTGGTTGCTTACCAAGTATTGGTAAAACAAAAAAGTCATACATTGAATTGAAACATGTAAAACAACATTACTTTGATCAAATTAGTTTACAGAAATAGTTAAATTTTTAAGTAATCTTATCTTCACAGTGGGGAAATATGCATATGATTTAACTGATATGGATTATAATCTTGTGTTAGTGATGTGGCAATGGTGGTTTTAATGAAATATTAGTGGCAGTGGTATTCTCTATCTCTCTCGTTCTCCTTCCTTAATTCTTTTCTTTATCACACGATGAGTCTTTTTGATTATGCGTTATGGAGGGTAACTTTGAATTTGATTATGTGTTATGGAGAGTAACTTTGAAATCGAGTGACAAGATAATCTAGACAAAAAAAATCTGATCTTTTGGTGTTCTAAGACCAAAAATTCATTGTTACAGTGTGTTATTTGTCTCTTTTAATGGACTTAATTGCTAGTGATTAATTCTGGTATCAATTAATTATGATCGGTTAA